CTTGGCAATTGGTTGTGAGGGGGCCCTGGTGGCACCCAGACCCAAGAGGCACCAGTTGCCAAGCTGGAGAGGTGTGCGGGGTGGGGGGGCCCTTGCACACTCCCCAGCAGATCCAGAAGCAGACTGGAAGGGCTTCTGCTCCACTTTCGGGTCTGCTGCCAAGCGTCCTGGGGACCTGCCCTCTGTGCTCCTTTGGGATGCTCCATGCACCCCAGCATCACAGCATTCATGAGCCACCTGGTACCTTGAGGTATGTAGAAAAAACACTTAAAGCTGTGTCTATGGCCGAATCACCGACTCTCTCCAAATTAGTTTGGAGGGTTCTGATTCGATTCAGAGAGATTAAAGGGTCCTCTGATTTGATTTGGAGATTTGGCCACCAAATCAGGTTGAATCTCTGCCAAATTGAACTGGGGACTAAAGCTTGACACAGCCCTAATACCTTTCTCTCTCATGTATATAGAATGTTAGTGGTGCTTCATTTTAATCACAGAAAATGCGGATTTTGAGGTTTTTAATAAAAAAACTTGGATTTTTAAACAGAAAACCAGGATCCCTAGTGATGAGGTATTTCAGACCAGTGCCAGAGCTGCTGCTAAAACTGCTGTTTGTGTAAATGCAAACAGTCAACTGAGAAAGTTAGACAATATTAGACAATGGAGGATGTCCAGCCTTTGCTAGTGCTGCTCCCAGCAGCCAAAGTTAGAGGTCCAGGTGTTGGCTACTGTGTATACTGGTGCTCCCACCTAGACTTTAACTACTAGCAACTGAATACAAAAGGGGGGAAAGGGAATTTGGATTAAATCAGGTAAATGTTGCTTTGTTTGCCTCTTAGAACTGGGTTGTTGATGGAAAGGTTCAAAGCAGTCAAGTGTCCTGACACTGCTACCCAACTTGGAGAGATCAAAAAAGTTCAGCAGGAGCTGAACCAGCCTGCAACCTTAGAAAGACTGCTGCCCAACAAAGCAGAGTCTGTTGCTCACCTGAGAGCAATCTTTACTGGCCCTATGCCTTAGATATGGTAAGTAGTTGGGCTGTGAGTAAAGCAACAGTCCTGTGCATCCCTTTTTGATCACAGCTGCTCTTAATTTGTGTGATTTTTTTCCCACCCCCCATGTTTTTTCAATTAGACCAGAAGAGTAGGATATAGTGAAAAAACACTTGAAAATCCATCTCTCAAAGGTGGTATCATAACTTTCACAAGCGAGAGAGAGAGCATTTTCCCTGTCTTATGGTAGAGGTGGGGCTACTGTTCATGCTTAGTTTTGGAACATGGATTATCTTGCTGCTTGCTTGAAAAGATATAAACACAGACAGAAATATGCTGGAATTTTGCTACTGCTACTTTTTTTTCCTCTAGGGCAAAGAAGGTGATCAGATGGTTGCCATCACCATTGCTGGTCCAAACCAATTTGTTCTGAAGCCTCAGTGAGAGGGTGGAGGTATTGACTTCCCTCACATTTCATGAACTTCAGAGACCAGAAGCCTGGTGTTCACTAGGGGACTTGCTTTGTATTTTCAGGGCAGTATTTGAGCCTTGTCTATCCAAGGCATCTCACTGTAATGCTCTGTGGCTAGAATAGTTAGTGGTTTCTTTCTAACACCCCATGCTTCTTCAAGCTGCAAGTCTTGTGCTGCACTACTGAGAGGTGTAGCAGAAAATCTCACCAAGCAAAAATCTTTTTTTTTTCCTCATGCCCTTTCCCTTTTCAGATAGAAGGAACATTTTACTGTCCTTGTTCAGCATCCTCTGGTGACTTTAGTAGCTGCAGTTCTCCATCCCTTTCTTTTTCCTCCTAAAGCATGTTGGTGTTGAGAGCCAAGGAAGAGATGTCTAATATTTTCTCCTGGAAGGTATTGGGATTTTTCAGCATTCAAACCTGTTAGGGCCTGTTCAGTAGCTTTGTGCCTGCTGTGCTCTTGTGAGCCTTTGTCAGTGTAGGTTCTGAGGACTGCAGTTACGACTAGGTAATCTCTGAGACATTCTAGGACTACAACAGTGAGGGACCCCTGAGTCTAAACCATAGGATGTAACCAGGAGTTCTTTGGAGACCAATGCAGTACCTGCAGTATGGGGATTATATTTACAACTACCTGTGTTTGTATAGCAGGGGATGTTTATGTCCTTTTCCATTTAGGGCTGCTTCAGGGCCTTCAGGTGGAAATGAATCAAATGGCTTTTGCAGCTATGCTGGGATTTGTTTTAAACTGATAATTATTTGCATCAGGGAACAATCTCTATGGTGAAAACCTCAAGCAAGTGCTGGAGAAAACTAAAGATAGCCCAGAGAGAACTTCTTATATCCTAATGGATAAGAGCAAGCCTCAGCCAATGATGAATTACATGTTGAGGGCCCACTCCCCCTTGAAAATATCAAAATGTGTCTCTGAGTTGGGGATTCTTGGTGTCTACATCAGGTGAGGCTTTGGCTTGCTTTGCCATTTCACTTTGTCCACGCCTGCATCACTCCCTGCACTTCAGTGAATTCTAACCAGCCCAGGTAGAAGGCATTGCAGTGAGCAGAAGAGGCATGAGAGGGGGCATGCATGTTCAGAACAGAAATGCAACTTGCAAAAGGTGTTTCGTCAGTAGTTCTCTGTGCCGTTCACACAATTACCAACCTCATTTCTAGGTGCTGACAGATGAAAACCATTTAAAACACCACAAAGCTAGGCCAGTGACTGACAAAGGTGCCTCCAATAAAAAAGATTAGAACGCAAGAGTTGTCTCCTGGACCCAATGGGAGCCCTGGGGCTGCAGGAAAAAAATCTCCATGTGTTTTGTGCTTAGTTCTGCAGCAACCTCAAATGGATTCCAGACTGAGGATCTGCATTACATAGGCTACTCAACAGAATGGTGCAGTTATTTCATTACCTGATCCTGTGCTGTGTATTTTGATACTATGTTGATCAATCAAGGTATTCACCTTTTGGGATGTAGTCAGGTGATGGTCAACCCTAACAAAGCAAATAGTTGCTTTGGGCTTGTGTACACAAAGATACAGCCTGCAGATCCCTGTTGTCTGGCCCCTGGTGCTGCTCCCATGTGCCACAGATCCCAGACTAGTTGGAATGGGCATTGCATGTGGCATGTGCCCTGAATCTGACAGCGAGGTGGGAGAGGGAGCAGGGGGCTCAAGCCCACTCATGGACCAGCCCCATATTACTCATTAGGAGTGTGTGAAGTGTGCCCTATTCAATTCAGATTCGGTCTGAATCTGGGACAGCGATTTGATTAGTTGATTCAGATCATTGTCCCTGATTTGATTCGGCTGAATCCGAATCTGAAGATTCGATGCTGATTTGGAGAATCAGGGATTTGGACAGCTTTAAATGTTTTTTCTACACACCTTGTGGTAACAGCGTGACTTGTGAACGCTGTGATGTTGGGGTGCATGAAGTGTCACACAGGAGTGTGGAGGGGCCCTCCATATGATCGGTGGTGAATCTGGAACTATTTCTGGTCCACTTCCAGGTTCGCTGGGGAGTGTGCAGGGGCCCCCACCCATGTCCCCCTCCAACTCAGTGATCAGTCACAGGGGGAGCCCAGGTGCCCCCTCAGATCCAGGAGTCACCAGTCACTGAGCCAGGGAGGTGCAGGGGGCCCCTCTTGTGTGCTCCCCAGCAGAAAGGAAGCGCTTCTGGTCCACTTCCGGGTCTGCTGCTGAGCATGCTGGGGACCTCCCCCACTGCACTTCTGTGGGACACTCCATCCACCCCAGCATTGCAGCATTCATGAGCCAACTGCTACCTAGAGGTATGTAGAAAAAACATTCAAAACTGTGTCTATGTCTGAATTGCTGAATCTTTCCAAATCTCTCCAAATTGATTTGGAGGGTTCCGATTGGATTTGGAGATTAAAGGGTCCTCTGATTTGATTCGGATTTGGAGATTCAGCCACCGAATGGGACCAAATCTCTGCCAAATCAAATCAGGGACCAAAGCTTCGCACAGCCCTACTAGAAAGTTGTAAACACCACAAGAGACCAACAACTATTTGGAATCATTCACTGGTATAACTGGAATACAGAAGCTGAAAAACTGATACTATTACGATACAAGGCAGTCAACAGTGCCTGCCACTGTAGCGTGTGTAAATGGTTGCCGTGCAAATTTTCAGTTTTTGCTTTTAATTATACAGCTGGTCCAATAAAAATACCACAAAACCCCCTTGCTAATCACATATTTCCTGGCCCATCACAGCTACAACAACACTCCAACCCTATTGTTAGAATAAACTTCAGGACAGTGAGGCATATTCATCTGCGGAGAAGCATGCAAATGAAGTGGCTAGAGCCTCCTTGTTCTAGCACTCTTAAAGTTGCACTGAATGCAGCACCAGCAAATACAGAATTAGGAACATCTAGGAACAATATTTCTTCATCTCTTACTTCTACTATGTTGTAAACTACTGAGGCATGGGCTGTGCAGCAGGCTTGGATGCCCTATGAGGTCTTAGAAGCCACACCAGGAATTTAATGTTGTTGTAAGCTTTTTCTCTACACCTTAGTGGCTCTTTGCCCCTGACTCCATGGAATCAGAAAAGCTGCTGCTAAAGGCTGCTAAAGTTAGGGCAGTCACTGGCACCTACCACTGTAGAGTGCATAAATGGTTGCTGCGCCTGTTTTCACTTCTTTGCTTTTGAACCTGAACCATAGTTACTGAAGTCCATAAGAACTATCCAATTCGCTGACAATTTTAGACATATAATTTGTACTAAAGATTAGTTTGTATCTCCATGAAACCTGCCAAAATTTTCTCATCTGGAGTTATGATTACTTGGGTAAGGGGAACTAGAATCTCTAATTAACATGTTTTGGTTGTTTCCTGACACTAAATTTAAACTTAAATAGTTCAAGTCAGTGGTGTCCAACATTTTCACTGTGTGGGCCCGATAAACAATGCCAGGTCCCTCTCTGGGCTGGATCTCGTGGATAGGCCCAATCCAGCTCTGGGGGGGGGTGTGCAGCCTAACCCTGGTTCGTCCACCTGGGTTGAGGCAGAGCGGCCTCAGTGTGGACATGTGGGTGGCAAGCAGGAGCTGTGGGAAGCAGCCTGTTCCTGGTCTAGATGTGCAGGGAGGAGGTGGGGAGGGGCAGAGCAGTTCCAGTCTGGATATGCAGGGAAGGGGGTGGAGGAGGAGACTGGGGGCGGGGGGAAGGGGCGAGTGAATCCAATCTGGATGTTTGCAAGAGGAGGGCAGAGTGGCCCAGCCCCAGCCTGGACACATGGGGTGGGGCAAACAGAGCAACCCCAATCTGGATGTGTGGGGGTGGGGCCCAGCCTTGATCCCCCTTTGCTGCAGTCACTTGGCTGAGGCTGGAACTGGCTATGTGGAGCTTCCACTGCTCCCAGATGCACATGAGCTGGGTGTCTTGTCTCTGTGGGCCAGATGTGGTCTGGAGGTTGAGCACCCCTGATTTAAGTGTATACACACACATTCTATGTTTATGATAACAGTTTGAGTCCTATCACAGACCTAAGGACTACAGCCCTTTTCTCCAAACTTCCCATTATAACAAAATATCAGGACATGTGGGGCTCATATGTATGGTTAGGTTTGAATGTCAATGTAAGTTTGCTTTTGTCGCATTAGGTCCTCTTGTGTTCACTTTGAGTGAATACTTGTGCCAGCACAACACAATCCATATGAAAGATTTGTGGAAAACAAATTTCCAAGTCACTCTTGTAAAAGTATTGAGACTCGAATTAGGAACTCAGCTCTTTCTTGCACTGGGAATTCTTACATCAGAGCCTACAATTTGAATGTTTTCTCTTTCTCTTTCTACGGACTTGTGAATATTTCACCTAGTGCCCATACCTGCTGGATATGGGCAGTAGTGCCCACCAGAGTAGTTAAACACCAACTCTTGAAGCAAATGTTCTGAGATGAGGTGACCTCTAGTGCCTCAGGGCACTTTTACACTCTGAGAACCACTCT